AAGAGTCCTTTTATCATTGCAAAAATCAATTGTTAAATCAGAAAAGCTGCTCTAATCTCGGGAATGGCCCCCCTTTGCAATCATGCTCTCAGAGCGTAATCCTAACATTAATTTTTTATTTATAAAATAGATATTTTTTAAAAGTGGAGTATTTATATACGTGTATGGAGTATCTGGAGGCAGTACAAATATTCTTTTACTTAAACAGTTGACCAGAAGCAGTATGGAAAGATAAAATACAGTTGACACATTAAAACTCCACATCACAGACTACAAAATCACAATGATTAAAAATAAAAATAACTAAGATCGTGATTCTCTGTTTAATTTTTAAATTAATTAGATAAAAGTATGTGGTTAACTAACATAATTTTCTCGGCAACATTTATACGAATATAGATATTTTTAGTTTGTGATATTAATTTAACTTATAACTATAAAATATGTGTACATTGTGATATATATACTTTTCTATCAACAATATTAAATTAATTAAAATGGTTTACATTTTAAAATTGGAGAAACGTCTTTTGTATGTACAGTACTATACTAGTATATATTAGTGATTTAAATCATTAACGATTTTAAAACTAATAAAAAAGAAATGATTGCAAACTTTTTTTATGTAGTTATAATTTTGAGGATTCTTTTAATATGATAGTAAACTTTTAATATGTTTTTTTTATCGAAAGTATGTTATTTGTTATAAATATGAAGTATTAGTGAATCAATTTCGTTATAAATATCTAATAAACGTGAATTGAAGACAAAAGAAGAGTAAATACTAAAAGGAGTACTTTATAAGGAGTATTCTTGAATAGCTTAATACGTACCAACCGTAAAGGTAATACCATAATATAGTAATACTTGAAGATAGAAGTGCACCGCCATTTGTAGGAAACGATGAGCAATGTATATGCATATATAATTGTTATATAGGTTTCTATAATTAAACCTTAATTAAGCAAAACTAAAAACTTTCTGCGCGAATGAGCTGCAAATTTCACTTTACGCCTAATGTGATGAAAACGATTCGTTTTCATATCCCAATGATTTCATCCTTCTCACTTTCTCTCTTACGCGTGACTAACCAATATATTGATTATCGGTATTGCCATGTTATCATTATACATATCATATGTTATGCTATACTGTAGCAATAAACTTAATAATATATTTTTAAATATTTTTATAACATAATGGATATAATATTATAAGTTATATGGTATATTTCATGTAATACATTAGTATGATATATACCATGCTATATATAAAAAAATAATTTGTTAATTTGTTATATGATCTATTACGTTTCATTCTAATATTATATAAATTATTTGAGTAATTTATATCTATTTTAAACTTTTCATATAGATTATGAGATTATTCAATTATAATAATAAATATTATAAATGTGACTATCAAATGATAAAACAATTTGACGAAAGAGAAAGAAACAAAATTTGTTAGGTTGTATGTTTTATGGTAGGTAGTATAGTACATGTTATAGTGTGAGAAGGGCAATTTCGTCAGAATTCTTTTCTTTTAGTTATAGAATCTAAATAATCTTCAAAGTGTTTACTGCTTGACATTTCAAATTATAAGTTTACTAGATTACGATCCGCGTTAATACGCGGATAAACATATTAAAAATTATTAATATCAAAATTTACGTTTTAATTGGTAATCCGTTAATTTACAAAAATATTTTAAAATATTTAAACATGGGTCTTAAACCGTTAAAATTTAATTTATATCTTAATTTTCATATCCTAATTGATATTTTGCAAACC